ACACCAAAGTTGTAACTTTATTCAGTGTTGAAGACACCAAAGTTGTAACTTTATTCTGTTTTTCTTTGTTAAACAGTAAATTGAAATGTTGACTCAGTTTTTGTTGAAGAAACCACACGTTTTTTATCAATCAATGTTCAGTTCGATTGTCTAATGCAAGAAATATATTTGTTGTTGTTTTTCACCCAGGACATCAATGACGGTGCCGTTGTGTTCACCCAAGCTTCTTACCACTACGGAATTTTAGAGACAACACCACGTGGAGAAACGGTGGGATTCGTGAACGCAACGAACTTCAGCCGCACCCCTCGGGATCAGGATATAGTGTATTGGATCAGTAGAGGAAATGAGGACGGGAAGTTCTGGGTCAATCCCACCACTGGAGCTGTGGTTTTAATGGACACTATAGACAGTGATCCTCCTTTGAACCAGCGGGATTTTACACTTGAAGTGAGTTGTCATAGTGATATATTTTCATTTCGTTTTAATAGTAATGGATTTCATATCTATGTTTTGAATTTACAATGCTTTGGAGGTCCATCGTTGTAATTATAACTGGTATGTCAATGTTATGTTCTGTTATGTTCGGCGGCTAAAATTCATGATTTGTTGTTCTTCGTGGCAGACACAGTAAAGATAACTCATTATGTATCTTTGAGATAAACCAAACTACACAGTTCGAAACACGTGTAAGCCTAATTGCTTTCAAGATAAATGAGAAACGTGCGCGTTTTCTTGCCATAATAACGTGCAACAGTATTATTACGTAATCAGACAATATAATGGACCCAGTCTAGCAGTATGAATATTTTGTTTTCAATTTTCATTTGTAGGTGGCTGCACGTGACACACTGTCTGTTAATTCTTTCAACACCAGTGTTGAGGTAAAGATTGAGGTCATTGACGTTAATGACAATGTACCGACATTTGATGAAGGTAAGTTATCATTTTTAGATTTGTTTTTAAATCGATAAGTAAACAAGTTCTATTTTTCTAAGCTTGACACGTACTTAACAATAATGGATATTAGTTTTGTCAAGGCTTCCGGTTTTAAAGTTGACCTGTTTGTAACATTTGAAAGATATAGGTTTGTTTATCGGCCTGTTAAACAAAATTTATATCTCTCAAATGTTAAGAACGAACCAAATTTAGAATCGGAGGCCTATCGCCTGGTGTTGGTTTTAATTACCGTTGTTATCAAGGCCTCCGATTTTAAATTTGGTTCGCTCTTAACATTTGAGAGATATAAATTTTGTTTAACAGGCCTATCGCCTGGTGTTGGTTTTAATTACCGTAGTTATTAAGGCCTCCGATTTTAAATTTGGTTTGCTCTTAACATTTGAGAGATATAAATTTTGTTTAACAGGC